ATTAGATGGATTCTTCAATGGCAAGGCTGTCAGGGAGGGAGCTGAGCCTCATCAGAGAAGCCCCCAGGCTAGAGGAGGTCCCATTAGGGTCCCCTATGGGTGTCAAGGAAGAGGTGGAGTGGGCAGAAGGAGAGTAGGCAGGGAGGAGCCAAGTGTGGTGACACACACTTGTAGCTCTAGCTTTAAGGAGGCTGAGGAAGGAAGACCATGAGTTCTAGCAAGTTCAAGGCCCACACGTACTACACGGCATGACCCTGTCTCAAAACAAAAATAAACACAAACAAACCAAAAGGAGAGACCATGAGAAAGGTAAAAGAAAAAATGGATAAAACTGAGAGGGAAAAGAAAAAGAGGAAATCGTTCAAAGGAAGCGAACAGAGGCAGAAAATGAGAGAAAAAGAAAAAGAGGAGACAAGATTAATGAAAAGAAAGGGAAGGTTATCAGAATTACAGGAGAGATATCCTGAGACAGCAGAGCTAGGAACTGAAGTGGACTTTAAAAAAAAAATCTTCTATTTTAACATATTTCTCAATAAACTCAAAAAGGTCATACTCCACAGAAATGACCAATCTTGAGTTGCAGGCAGCAGTGGGGAGGGAGCTGGGAGTGGCCATGGCAGGGACAGTGCTTGTCTACAAGGGCTGAAGGCGGGAGGAGGTGGGAAGCCTGTCAGTTTGCTTTGTATTCTAGGGTTGCTGGAGTGAGGATACAAAAGCCAATCTTTAACTAGTGAATTGGAACTTTAATGTTTACCAAGCAGATACAGCTCCCCTCCCCAGCAGCACTCCCTGCACTGCCTCCAGGCCTCCTGCTGATGGACTGAGCTCTCCCATCACCAGCCTTGCCAGGAGCCTTCTCTGCTGCCAAAGGAGGAAAGTGTTGGCCACTGCTTGTCATATCACCTGGTTTTCTGTACTCAGAGCCTCCCCCTGAGACCTTGGATTCCCATCTTTGGAGACAGATGGGTTCTTTCTGCAAGACAATTTCTTGCAAAATCCTAAAGATGAGGAGCTGGGACTAAGATCAGAGTTGTATTTTAGGGGACACAATTCTTCCAAGAGGCTGTGTATACTCAAGCCCCAGGTAGCTCTCTGAACAGGCTTTGGCTGCCTGAAGCATCTCACCAGGTCCCAGCTCCCATTCTCCTCTGTGTTCTTCATCTCTAGGTTGCTTCTCAGTGCCCCCACCTGACTAACTGGTCTTACTCCCAGCTTTTTTCCCACATGCTCATGACCCGAGGAAAACCTTGTAGCAATTCCCATACTCCACAGTCATTTCAATCCCTTCTGAATCCCTAAAGCAGGGATAACAGAGGTGATCACAGCAGACCCAGTGTTAATCAAGAATTATATAACCTTGGGGAAACCTCAGTCTCCTCACCAGTGGGGAAAATTATGTTGTCTTCCTCATGGAGGTGGTTGTGAAGATAAAAGAAGGTAACAGGGGTACAGTTCTTGACATCATACCAGTCTTTTTAAAGTATTTAACAGTATTAATTGTGATTAAGGCATAACTGTTCACGCTATTCATTTATAATAACATCTGCTATCTTATATTGTTAGTTACATTTGGGTGTGTGTGCAAGCATGTGTGTGCATATGTGTGTCCAACTCAAAGAGAAACTCCAAGCGGGAGGGCAGATGTGTTTTTCTTGTCTTTGTGTGTTACAGCATACCCATCTAGGCCAGTTTCTGGTACACATTCAGGAAATGCTTGATGATGGATTGATAAAGTGTCCCTTGTGGACTTGACCCTATGAATAGTGGAATAAACATTGAGAATGGAATGGGCAATACAGGGCCAGGAGGCCAGGAGAGAGTGAGACTAATGAAGAGAGATCATGATAGAGATAGAGTTTAGAAAAAGTGGAACTTCCCTGCTCAGATTCTGGCAAGAGGCTATTGCTCTAAAAGACCCTGATGTAACTTCATGGTTTACTAATCTCATTCTACTAAAATTATGTCAAAGTCAAAAATAATAATCCACTTGTGAGGCTGGTCCAGGAGGACTCCACCAGCCATTGGAGTTGTTTCAATTAGACTGATTCCCAGGGAAACTGACCTCTGATTTGTAAAAACAGCTGTTGTGATCTGGCACTGGAGTGTACACTTACCCCTAAAGAAACATTAGTTCCCGTCTTTGTCCCCAAATGAAGGCTTGTGCTAAAGATGCCTGCAGTTCTCTTTGTTGTTGTTGTGGTGGTGGCGGTGTTTGCATGATCATGTGTATGACAATCATGGGGTGATTTTTCTTGCTGGTGACAGGATACTAGGTCTGTAACTTGCTGAGAAACAGAATACGTTGCCTGCACTATCTTTCCACCTCTTTCTGTCCTCAGTAAGAAAGTGAAGGGTTGGTTTTAATGGATTGATTTTAATGGATTCTGAAGTCTGGAAAAGTGCCTAAATTGCTGAGGTTACCAGTTTTCCAGGTTCTTTTTTCAATTTCATTCTCCTTAGTCAGACGCAGAGTGTGCTTACTGGGGCACTTAGTGTGATCACCTCAGAGGAGAAGACATTCTCCCCTCTGTCCCCTCCCCTACTACCAAATAGGTAGCCCTAAGCAAGGCCTCAGCTGACGGGCATGTGTGTTATTTGGTCAGGTCAGAGCATTTTACTTAGTTCTATTCTTGTATTTGGGAGCAGCACACTTTCCCTGATCTCAAAGGAAACAACCAAGTAGCAATAATAACTCCAGTTCTGCTTTCCAGAATCAAAATGACTCCACTTTAAAGCATAATTTTATTCGGTCATTTTGTTTTTCATTTGTCTGCATGTGAGTTTGTGTAGGGACAATGTGCCCTCGGAACTTAGAGTTACAATTCTGTCTTTTCTCCCTGTCCCTGCCCCCCGCAGGCTGTGCCTGCCCTGAGAATTTGTGTGATGAGGCTTTTGAGGCCATGAATTGCCCTGAGAAGCCTTTGAAGAAAGGCTGGTATTCCAGGCAGCACACAGGGGCTCTGGGCTGTGTGCAGTTCTGCTATTGGCCTCCTCCTCACCCCTCCCTTCTCCCAACACACATTCATGTTTCTTTTTCCCTTTCCTCCCAAACTTGCCCAACTTGTCTTTGTGATTTCAGAAAAATGCCATTGGATCTCCCAGTATGAAGGATTAGCGCAGATTATGGGGAACAGTGTTAATTATCGTGGAAGGGGGGCCGGCGCGTCGCTCCAATGTGCTCCTGATTTCCCCTGGGCCTTTCTGCCTGGTAATAAGCCTTCTTTAATCTGGCAGGCCCCTTGGTGAAATCAGCACCACGGACAGTGATATTGATTGCTTCTGAGAAACCATCACAGCTGCTCAACCAAATTACCTTTGATATGTGACCTTTAATGTAATTACTGCAACATCAAAGTATTTCTATAAATTATTAAAGAACTAATACACTCCATCATTTAGCTATTCTATTATATGTAAAATAAACAACCACAAGTTAATGTTAGATCCCCAACAATCCATACTCACTACCGAAATTTTCTCAGTTCCAGGCTTCTCCTTTTTCAAAATCTTAAACCTCCCCCTCCCACCTTCTCTCTTTCTATTTCCCCATCTGATTCCGGCTTTTAGCCAGCATGAAACTCCCCAGCAATCTCTCTCCAGCTGATGAAGGACCTCCCATAACAATGTGGTATTTTCTATTCCATTTGGGTGGCTCCAAAATATCTATCACAATCTCCCCCAAAACAAAGTACCATAAACACTTTATTAATCAGCACAAACCTTTCTCAGAAGCCTTTGATTATCCTACAATATGGCTTTATGCTTCACACATAACATGGGGCGATGTGGAGCATATTTCTGCCATCTTACAGAGGGTACCCAGAAAGTAATTACTATAATATATGTGCATGTTAGCTGCGCCACTAAAAAACCAACTGGGAATGGCCACCCTGCCAGAGCTGGGCTCTACACAAAATCTGTGCAGTGCTCCATTTCCATATATTTGCATCCGTGGGTATGTTATTAAGATGAATCAGCCCCGTGCGTTGCAACCACAAATACCAAAAAAACAATACAAAGGCTGCTTTAATGGAAGAGGGAGTTGTGTGATTCAGCACTCCCCACCCCTGAAGGGGTAAAGAAAGATCTCTGATGCAAAGGAAGGCTGCTCCAGCCCGGGGGTTGCATTTTCTCTCGTCTACCTGGTTAACCTTTCCCGCTGTGGGGCAGAGAGGGAAACGTGTGTTTACATACGTTTGCTTGGTAAGAATGTAAACATGCATGTGTAAGCACGGGAGCGCATACATAGAGAGCACTCGTGCTTCCCCGCAGTGTCCATTGTAGAAGCTTAAACACCGGATATTTATAAATTCTTTAAATTATGCCCACAAACACACATCTTTCCATTTATCTTTAGATATTCAGCAGTCGTATATCTCCCCCCCCCCATCTCTCTGAACCCACCGGAGAGACCGCACAGACCCTTGACCCGAGGAACACTTCTTATTTTATGGTGATGAACTAGCCTCGATAATAGCCATGGCTGATATCACACCCAGTTAGGGGGTCCATAAATAATCCTCCTCTCCCCCACACAGAAGCTATAAACCAGGGCCGAGGCGCGATAGTTTATCAAAGACGAGGGCTGGCTCCTTAAATAAACCGCGGTGATCTCACTCGGCGGCGGCGCCAAGCTCGGCCCGGGAGGCGCCCCTCCCTCCCGCCGCGGCCCCCACCGCGGGAACCGGCCGGGACCCACGACCGGCTCGGCGCGCAGGGCGGCACCGCGGTCCCGGAGGTGCCGGAGGGCCACCCCGCGGGCAGCGCGCCGGAGCCGCGCCTGGGCTTCGCGGCCACCAAGTTCACCCGGGTCCCCGCGGGTTCCGTCGGGGCTGGAGCGCGGAGCGCGGGGCGCGCCAGCTCCGTCCGGGGCGCAGGCGGGCGCGGCGCCCGGCCCGGTCCCCCGCCCGCCCTTCCTTCCTGCCCGCAGCCCGGCCTGGCGAAGTCGCCCCCTGTCGGCGCGCCACTCGCTGGCGCCGCGGCGGGCACCGCTGACTTACCCCGGGCAGAGTCTTCTGCTCGTGCAGCGCGCTCTGGGCCTTCAGCGCTGACTCACGCTCGCAGTAGGTGAGGAAAGCGCAGCCTGGGGAGGGAAGCAAGCGCCGAGAAGGGTCAGTGGGGCGCCCCCAGCCCGGCCCGGCCCGGCCCGGCCGCCGGCCCGGCACGCGCCCTGCCGCGCGCCCCCGCCCCTCGCGGCCCCGTCGCACTCCCACCTCTCCGTCTCCGGGGCCCTCTCGGAGCTCCCCTGCCTCTGCGTGCTCCTGTGTGTCTGCCTCTCGTCCCTCCCGTTGCTTTCCTATTTTGATCCCTCCGCGGAGTCTCCCCCCACCACACCCCCTCTGCCCACGGGTCTCTCTCTGTCCCCAGCCCTTGGTGCCTCAAGCGTCTCTGCCCTTTTCCCTTTTCTCAGCGGGTGCTGTTTCTACCTGTTTCTCCTCCAACCCCAACAACTCCCAGAAGGGGCAGCTTTCACCCTTGCCCCCAGCGCCTCTAGGCACACTTGCCCGTGAGTCAGAGATGAAGAGGGACCTCCTGCCTTCCAAATAAAGGCTTGTGCTGTGAGAAAGACCCTAGCCAGGTACTCCTAATGAAATGAACAGGGCTGTCACATGCTGCCTGTGTCCCCTGGTCCAGTTCCTGTTGTCACATTTGCAAGGAGGCCTTCACACACCTGCTAGGTAGAGGGCTTCTTGGGCCTCTCAGCTAGTCAAAGAATTGGAACTGAGGCCTACCCTTGCCTTGCCTCTAACTCCCCAGTGACCCTGCTGCTCTGCTCTGTTTCCCCTGCCCAGCCTCAGTCTCCCCATCTGTGAACTGAGGGTCCAGTATATAAGCTCCAGAGTCCAGTGTACTACCACTGGGAGAGATGACCTGGGCCATACCACTGCTCCTCACCAGGGCCTCTCAACTGGACAGGGCAATCTGCTTCATGGGGGGACTTTAATGCTGGCTATTCTGGCACTGTGACAAGTCAAAGGCAAACTCTGGCAATGGGAGCATCTTTCCTGGAGTTTCTTACCCATGTCTGTGGCCTGTTTTCCCTGAAAGACTGCAAGTCATAATGAAAATCAGAAGGCTCGCTTTGGCCTCTGCAGACCAGGTGTCCAACACAAGGCACCTTGAAGACAGGCCAGCCCCTGTGCTTCATTTTTCTTATCTTTTCAGCCTCCCTTGAAACCTGCACTCAGCACCCTGCCATCCCTGGGTGCACAGTCGGCTCACAGGCTCTGCCTTCTCTCCCCAGTGGTACTTTTCCCAACCTCGCCCATCTTTCAACAATGGAATGGAGTGAATGGAGCCCTGCCTATTCCAGGCAGCCCTTCTTGACTGCTTTAGTTCAACTGCAAACAAACTTATTTCCTGACCAAAAATTGCCGTCATTTGGTCTTTCTCATGGTCATTTACTTTCTGGGTACTCACTCTGTGCCAGGACTTTGACTCAGGGTATCCTTTCTTGAGGCCCACAGTCCGATGGTGACAGACTGGTGTCTACACCAGCCCTTGTCACCAGACATGTTCTGGCCTTTTAAAATCAAGTAGAGTGTCCTGCCAGTGTCCTCCACAGCACCTGATTCCTCCACTATCCAGCTGATGCCAGACCAAAACCCTTTCTCCTCTTCTACTATGGAGACTGTTGCTGCCTCCTTCCCCACCTAGCTTCAGAGAAAAGGCAGAACAGGACTGTGCATGTGGAGGGGATACAGAGATGGAAGAAGGCAGCCTAGAGACAGACGCTGAGTTCCCAGTGCCAGCTCTGCCTCTCCTCCTGCCCAGGGCTCGGAGGAGCTGCCAAGGAGCCGTCTCGCCTGTATCCACCCCTCCCCTGTCCAGCCTCACATCACCCCTCCTCCTTCCTCCCCCTCCTGGTCACTGGCAGACGGTTATTGATGGAGACACGGGGACTGAAATGAATAGCGGTCAGAGGCCCCTGTGACGTTGTCCCTCGTGCTGCCGCCTGCCTCTCCCAGGGGCGTCTTTCCTCTCGTCCCCTTGTCCCCTTGTTGGCCTTGTCTTTTGCCTGCAACTGAGAGGCAGCCACTGCCTCAGCTGCATACCGGCAAGCCAGCTTGGGACAAGGTCAGGGGCAGGTTCTGAGAGGGAGGAGGAGAGAGGAAAAGAAGGAATATGAGGGGGAGGAAGAGGAAAAGGAGGAGGAGAGGGGGAAGTGACCATACTGCTTCCATGGCCTAGGATAACAAGAAGAGGATTCCAGAGGGGGAAAAGGAATCTGTTGCTTTTGTCCAGGTTTCAGGAATTTCTACCTTGGTATTTGGGAGAGCTCAAAACTCCACTGGGTACTAGGATCTTTGAGATCCCCCCAGGCCCTGTGTGATCTCCCTCTGCCATCTTTACCCCTCAATTTATTTTCTCCTGGAGTGTCTTCTTCTTGCGCATTGCTTGGCTTCCTTCCTTCCTCCTCAGGCCCACCAGGCAGCATGTACCTCAGGGGCTTGTCCAGATAGACTCCTGCCCCCTGTTGCTGTCTGCATGTCTTATTCCTTCACTTCCCTCGGCTTTCAGATCAAATGTGACACTCTCAGAGTCACTTCTCTTTTTTTGGGTGGTGGGGGGAGAGTAGTTTAACTTGTACCAGGAATTGAACTCAGGGCCTCGCACTTGCCAGGCAAGTGCTGTACCACTGAGCTCCATGCTCGGCCAGAGTCACCTCTCTTGACATTTCATTTAACATGGCTTCACCCCTACCCACAGTGCACACATGCCCTCTGCCCCACTGTGCTTTCTCTTTCTGTTCGGCACCTACCATTCCCTGACATGTTAATACATACACCGTCAGTCTCTGGAAGCTCTGGTGGGGTTGGGAACTTGGTTTTGTTCTGTTCCTGCATGGTTCTCTGTGCCCAGAACAGTGAAAGGGGCTAGAGGCTTATTGGTTGACAGCACTGAATGCCAAACATCTGGCTAACTTGGCAGCAGGGCGGTAGCTGGGGAGATACAGAGATGGTGCTCAGAGGCTGCTGGGAGCTCCCTATGGCTCTGTGAACCTGCCAACTTCCCTAACAGTTGCAGGGTCTGAAGTTGCCTGTGAGAGTTGATAAGTGGGTTGCTGCAGAGCCTTTTGATCCCTAGGTTTCCTCAGGGGCCTCCAGCTGGACAGTGTCCTCTTCTTGTCCCTCCCTGGGTCCTCGATCACTTCCTGAAAAGGCTGAGGCACAGCTTTGCCCAGGGTAGCTCTATACCAGTCACAGGGCAGGGGATGTGCTGATTTGTCTCCCTGAGCCCTAGGTTCCTCATCTATAAAATGGGCAGTAATTCCTCTGAGAAGCTTGTGGGGAAGCCTGCCAGCCCTCAGATGTTAGCAACTCCCACAGATACACTAATTACAGAGGACATGGTTCCCTCTTGGGAAGTAGGCTGGGGAGGTGCCAGGACCTCAGCCCCTTCTGCCCATCTCCCAGAGACCAACTGGGCAACCTCGCCCGGATCCTTCTCCAGCCATCTCTACAGCAGGCTCACCTTCCACCACTAGAGATTGGTTTTCTCACTGAAGGCTCTTTAGACAGAAAATAGGGATAAGCCGGGTGTGAGGGCTGAGGGCAGAGTGCGACGGTGGCGGTGTTGAGGGTAGGAGGAGAGTTTGCCATCATAGTGAGTCCTAGGCTATGGTGGGCCTGGAGTGGGGCCAGGTAGACTCAGAGTGACCACAGCAGCAAAGGTCCCCGAGCCTCAGCCATGGACACTGCTGGGTTCTCATATTGGGGAGTGAGGTTGAGTACTTAGAGCCCTGCCAAGAGCAAGCAGCTCTGACCTCCTGTGGCTCACTGCTGTTCTTCACAGGGCTGGGGGTGGGGGGCTCAGGACTGTGAGGCCCATGCAGCTGGAAAGAGCATAGGCTGCGTCAGCCTCAGCCTAGGAGCCACTAATCTGCTAAACTCACTGTCCTAGGACACACCAAGGAGCCACTTGGGAATTTGCAGTGGAAGTGGGAGGTAAAATTCTCTCGGGGAGTCATGGTGTAACCTCCAGGGGCTCATGCAGGGCTGGGACTGGGGGCCTGAGAAGGTGTGAGAAGGAAATATCTTTCCTGTGGAGGGACTGGTGGGTCAGACACCTCCCCATGCCTTCAGGCCCAGCCACGTCTCCTAAGTTCTGATCCTTACAAGTAAATGCACTTATTCTCACAGAGAGAACAAGTGTCTGCTGTGCCCATTTGGAATAGCAAAAGATTGAAAACCACCTAAGTGTCCCTCAGGGCAGGAATGTTTTTATTTTAAAACTGTGAATACTCTACAGCAGTTAAAAAGATTAAATGATCCTAAATCCAACACCAAAAACCACGTCGTCAGAGGGTTGAATGGGAAACGAGCTGTAAAATAATCTGCTCTGAGTATACACCACAGAGGCACACTCCTTCCTTCCATATGTACTTGTGTCTGTATTTACACGCAAGGGACAAAGTCTAGAGTCACACAGAGCAGAAGAGAGGGAGCAGAGACATGGTGTAGGGATGTCACCCATGACTTTCAATTTTTTGTTTGGTTTGACACATTTAGACCTAGAATGTATTCATGTATCACTTGCATAATTAAGTTTAAAGGAAAAAAATCTGTGCTAAAAGAGGAGAATGGAATGAAAAGAGGGTGGGGGAAAGTGGGTGAGCCCGACAGGATGTGGGATCCACAGTCTGTTTTGAGGAGACAGACAACGATCGCTGGGCACCTGCTGCCTGGCAAATGTTGCCTCGAGGGGGATTTTGGTTGGTGGGATTCTTTCCACCCAGCAAGAACCTCTAAATGGAAGAGCCACTTGCTTCCACGGTTCTCCGCATCACTTGGTCTCCTGTCCTTCGTGCTGTAGCTCGCCCCTCCTGAATCATGGGATTGAGAAGAGCAGAGCTACAGCCTGTTAATGCGGGAGTCGACTTTAGAAATCATCTGGGAAGGGGGGCTGAGAGATGACATAATTAGAGAGAAGTCACACCACAGTGCTGCTGTCAGCAGCTGATTGCCTGGGCTCCGGCTCCCTCCAGCATGAGACAGACCCCCATGCCACCTCCTCCGGCCCACACTGACCTGCCTCTCCCCTGACACTCTGTTCTGCTGTGTGTGCCAAACACAGCGGTGA